CGTGAAGCACAAATTGATTTGGGAGGGAATGAAGAGAGGCATCGCAGCTGATCTTGGAAGATAAAGCCTGCATGGAATTAAAAGAAGACAAGTGAGGAGTGGTGATCAGATGGGGTTCTCGAATAATTTGGCTTGGATCTGAATACAAACCGACATAGAGTGGTGTTAGCTTCTTAGACTTACAACGGTGACATCATCAAATCTTGTGTTCCAGATTTCGACAGAAATCGGCTGATCATTATCGGATTCAGTATTATTCAGATAATTTGGCATATACGACTTTTTCCACTTTTCAGTGGCATTGGGTCTTTAAATATGTAATGTATATTTATAATATAGGCACATAAATACATATGCTAGTGCAATATTTTAAAATTGTTTAACTTCCTTATCATAAAGTGTGTGTGTGTGTGTGTGTGTGTGTGTGTGTGTGTGTGTGTGTATTGCAGAAGTAATCCGAATTACAGCCATTTATGTCATCGGGTGATTTTTTTCCAGACTATTTCAGTAAGGCAGATAGTGGAATGAAATTTAATAAAGAATGACACCTTTCATTTTACAAAAACTCGTCATTAATTTTAACTATGTTAATGCAACATTTTCGTCGTTGTTTTTAATTTAGTAAGGTTTATGTTGGTTTCTCGTTCAACCAACATTTCATTTGAATTTGAATATATGGTTTGAGGATGCAAATGGAAACCAGTCGTCAAAGGAAGTCTCCACATGATTATTTCATGAGGACCCCATACCATATATTCATTACGGATCTTAGAGTGACCTCTCTTGGGAATTAAATATTAAACGTTTATATAAATCTGGTTCAAGACTCTGGCCGTTGCCGTGTTCAAACCGGATATTGGTTAAAATTCGCACATGCTCATTTTGCGTAGGGCAAACCAGAGAACAAAGACCTATCATATTTATCGACTGTCAAAGTTTTATCAATGTTTTACTCAATTTGAAAATCTGAACTTGAAAGATGACGTCCAATTGATAAGGAAATACGATTACATGAAGCGTATTAGAATACCAAATTTAGTAATGTGAGCTGTATTATTGATTTTATAGAAATTTTCACTGAAGAAACAATGTTTTAAGTGAGGGCTCAAACATACCCGAACAATAACAAAACACAATACTACCAAAGTACTTATTGGGTTAAGTCCAGCAGTGACATCCTTATTGGATTGTCGGGGAGAACGCTTAAGTGATTAAGAAAATAACTGTTGAAAGTGGACTTATTTGTGTTTGGGAATGTAGTAATGGCGGGCCAAGTCTTTAGAACGAAATATGATTTCGCCCAGCAAATTGTGCAACTCACTGTTCCATCCTTCACAAAAGGAAAATGGCAGTTACCCCCGGAAAAAGTTGAACGAGTAATCGAATGAATTAAAGATTTTAGGATTTTAGCTGGACCAATGGCGATAAGATTTGTAAAAGGAAAAAAATATATGCAAAAAATTGCTGCGAGTGATTGTTGGAATTGTCAAGATGAACCAATTGCAAAGTAATTAAACACAAGTGTAATCATGCATTGATTCTGTTTTATATCATCAACGTCAAATACATGATGAAGTGATCACTTACTGACATGTCTTACGGCGTAATGATTGAAACTCGTAAATAATGAGACAACACATACACAAAGTACTTATTTATGTCAATGCATGTATTAAATACACTGTCAGTGGATATCTACAGAATATAATTATTTCTTTAACTTAACATGTTCAATAATTTTGTTTGACTATATGTATACTTTTGTGCTGTTAAGAGATTTTTAAAGGGTGAAGCTGTGCGTACCATATTTGGCTGCCATTTAACTTCATTTTCAGGTAACGCTCGTTTAAAAATTTTCATCTGCTGAAATAATAAGAAAAGATCCCTATCTGTTTATGCAATAGCAATCTCGCTTCCTGTACCGGTAAAAACAGAAAGACACGTGAATTCGTGACAGTACGTAACTGAGCTTTCACCATAAATCCCCATACATGTATCTATTTTCAGAGAAAGTGGAACGGAGGTATATCAGTAGTTAGCGTACCAGACTCGTTACTAGAAAATGTGTGGGTTCGAATCCTGCCATCGGCGCTAGTGGGTTGTGTCCTTGGGATAGACAATTTATTCTAATCTTCTGGGCACGTAATAACAGTCTTGTGTTGCTGTGTCGTAAAATGCCAAACCTAACCTTGATGTAGTGCTAAGACGCATACCATTCTAGCATTTCTTTAGAGCCTGAACAGATTTACCTAATTTGTGGATAATACAATTTGCTTACGTCAACAACAACAACAAAAATATTTCAGTATTTACTTCAACCCATGCTTGCTTTCTGCGGGCCGTTTTGGGTTTCGTTGGTTCAAAAAGTTTATTTTTAGATTATGACACTGATCGTATATACTCGTACATGGAAAAGGACACGGCTCAGTGGCGTGCAAGGGCGAAAGCATATTTACAGCAGATAGATGCATCAACAAGTACTGATGAAGACAGGCATAAAAATAACATTCGAGACTGTATCTTTCATAAGGGCTGTGTCATTTTATTCACCATCATTTTCATTTTGTACCAACTCTTTACTGAGCACAATTTAAAATAGGTTTTGTTATTGTTGTCATTGTTATTTTTTTAAATATCTTTCCTTTCAAACCTCTTTACAGTTTTTCATGTATATGTTTACGTAAATATTTACAGATAGTTCATTGTTCCCCACGTCGGTGTGTACGAGGAAGTGAAATATGAATCATTTATACCTGTAATAACATATCAGTCTGTCTCGACTCACTCCTCAATCAACATATGCAAACACAACTCAAATATGTATACAGAATACATTCGTTATTAATATCTAACATGCGGCTGTTTTCTCCACAAATTATCAATTTATAGCCCGTTGCCCAGGGCTGTTTTCTCAATACGTTATCACTTTATTGCCCATGGCTGTTTTCTAACAGAGTTTCAATTTATAGCACGAGGCTATTTTTTCCATCAGTTTATAGAACAACGTTTGCTCGATAGATCTGTGACTATCTCCAGAGAGTACAAGCAACAAAAACAAACATCGGGGAATCATAAATGAAGTGTTACCTAAACGCAATGTCTAAACCGATGGCCATATAAGTAGAAAAAAAAGAGAGTATTTTCCAATTAATGGTTTAATTAGGTAATACAAATCTGATTTGAACAAATATCATTTCAAACTTGATCTGATCAATTTTATCACTCATTCATTTCGTTATTAAAAAACGCTATTTTTACAATGGTCGTATTTTAATAGTATCGGGTGAGCGGGATGTTTCAAATAGCCATATTTTAATTGTTGATGGGATGTGATCATGATTTTTAACGTAGCTTTAACAATTTTTCAGTCCTATCGCTACGATGTCTATAGTGTGGCAGTTTATAATGATGTCTAGCATTGGGGGCATCATGCCGCAGACATGTAACATAATGTCCCACCCAGTCACATTATCCTGACACCAGGCCGACCAGTCCTAATACTAGCCTCTTAATGTTGAGCGTCAAGCGAGGCAGCTGTTAGTACCATTTTTGTAAGTCTTTGGTATGACTCGACAGGGGATCGAACCCACAACCTCCCGCATCTGAGGCTGACGCTCTAACCACGAGGCCGCCGGAGCGGTTTGACGTGAGCGGACAACACTATTTACAATGGCTATATTATAATGCTGACACGTGAGTGGACTGCACTGTTTATGTGTGTATTTGTATCCTATTTACACACTACTCGGTCTTCGCTGATGTATCAAGGTTAAGAATTCAGTGCTTAGGACCTTACCTTCACATGCACAGATTATATATATATATATATATATATATATATATATATATATATATATATATATATATATATATATATATATATATATATATATATATATATATATATATATATATATATATATATTGGTAAAAATTATCATGACATTTTTTTTTTACTTTTGAAGGCATTTAATTCGATAAAGTCGGCAAAAACTTTAAAGTGATGGCGAACCCATCCTCACTGTACAGTTGTATTATTTATATCTGGTGGCGCATATAGTCACTTCATTTTTGATAGATTGCTACATATATAAGAATCACCCTTCGGTCTGATATATTTATAGTTGTATATAATACAAATATGTTTATAAAACGTATTTGAAGAGTTGAAGTTAAAGCTTGAGTCTGGTATAATGTGGCACTTTTGTATCGGAGTAGTTACTAATAAAATAATTGCGCAACTTTCATGACTTACTATGGCAGAACGCTGCGCTGTTTGTTATCTCTCACCCAAATAACATCCCGACTCACCCACCCACACCGTGTGGAGTGTGATACAGTGGTCGTAGCAAAAGCACGTGACAGACATTGTATTTAAGCTTGCTATAAATAGATAACAATGTCTCTAAATCTAAGATCTATAGTAATAAACAAGGAAATATAAACAAGCCAGACGGGGAAATATAGTAATAACAAACATGTGTCAAGTGCGAGCAAAACATACCTATGGGATTCAAGACCAAAGGAAATATACTTCGTACAGTCGATAGCTATCAATATATATTTCGTACAGTCGAGAACATATAGGATGTCTTTGGTACAATCAGGAGCTAGCAAGATGTATTTGGTACAGTCAGGAGCTAACAAGATGTAGTTGCTGCAATCAGGAGCTCAGAAGATGTACTTGGTTAAGTCGGGAATTAACAAGCTGTACTTGGTGCAGTCGGAATTTAGCAAGATGTACTTGGTGCAGTCGGGAGCCGACAAGATATACTTGATACAGTCGGGAGCAAGTGAGATGTGCTTTGCACAGTTAAGTGTGAGTATGTGTGTGCGTCTGTTTTGGATTTTTAACGTAGCATTAAAAACTTTTCAGTCATATCGCAACAATATCTGCAGTGTGGCAGTTTATAGTGATGTCTAGCACATCAGGTCGCTTTAACCTCTCAATGATGAGCGCCTAGCGAGACAGCTGTTAGTACAATTTGAAGTCTTTGGTATGACTCGGTCGGGATTTGAACCCGCTACCTCGCACATACGAGGCGGACGTTCTAACTACTAGTCCACCGGACCGGCCTGGTACAGTCAAGACTTTGCAAGACGTATTTAGCCCATGTTCTTTCTGAGTACAGAAGATACCTGATGTCAACTTTTATCTCATCAAAGTTGGTGGCGCCCTGAGTGGTCAAGTGGTCTAAAGCGCTCTCCGTTATGGATCACTGCCATCTCACCTCTGTCTGCTGGAGTTCGAGTTTAAGGTTCGGCGAATGTGGATATGTGAAAGTGCTTGCCAGTTTTTCCTCCACCATTAATACTGGCCGCCATGTATAGCCTATCGTGTGCTGAAGAATTGTGTTAAGCCGAACAACAACATTAAAGTTGGATTTATAGTGGAAATTTGTGCATGTCATAAAGTAACACATTTAAAAAATGTGTCATTTTAATATTCGCTGGTATCCCCGCAATATGTTTGGTACATTATTTGTGCCATAATGACTTATATACATTGATATGTACACTCGTGTATGTCTATCGTTTTACAATATTGGCATTTTATATTTTTGAAGTAAAGTGGCAGTTAAACACTAAGAAGGGGTTATTTCAAACTAGAATAAAATCTGATTTATAATCTTCAAGAAGGTTTACCGATAAATTTAATTCGTTTATTGTTTTGCCTTTGGATCAGCTGCATAGTCCTAAAGAAATTTAGAAAGTTTGACATTTATAACGTGAAGTTATATGTATTTGTACCAAGTACATTGGGCACACAGATGAAATAGCTTTATACTATTTTCGTACATTGTGCTGTCATTTTATTAAATGTGGTAACAAGGGACACAATTGCATTCTAAAGGAGACAACTCATCGAAATGGCGCTTCCGTGTACTCGCGAAAGAACTTAAACTGATTGAAATACACAAACTTTTAAAGTCCCAATTAGGGAAAAGGAGTATTTATGTACAGCAGTTAAGGAGAATTGGAGAAGATGAGGGTAAGCGCCGTTTCTGCCCTCCGATACTTAAAGAAAGTTCATAAGACAAATAGTGCTGAAAAACCGTAACACGTTTCCTTGAGTAAGTTCACTGTCTGGCTAAAATTCTTCTCAGGAATTGCTTAAAATACAGGAGATTCTCTCTCTCTCTCTCTCTCTCTCTCTCTCTCTCTCTCTCTCTCTCTCTCTCTCTCTCTCTCTCTCTCTCTCTCTCTCTCTCTCTCACACACACACACACACACACACACACACACACAACGATGCATACTTCTAGATCAGCCACTATCAGCAATACCGGCTTCTGAAAGTGCAATAAATAATAAATAATTTATAAAATATATTTTGCAAAATAAAAGTAAGCAAGTTTTCGTCCAGAATTTTTTGTCTAAATTCTTTCTTCACTGACTACTGCGACATTCTTCCCGAGTTTTTAAGACCCAGGGAACAAATATCCGCCATCTTCGTGAAAATATCGAATTGAGGTACTTTTCTCCCATTATGCACATTGCCCTATAGAACTCAAGGTACTAATTCAGTTCCCATTGTAAACCTATGCCAACACCACGATATTAAAAATTCAATAACTTAAAATTTCTGAATGCCCAGTTTTTTTTGTTTCTTACAAGCCATCCTAATCATTGTGATATGACAATGTTGATCAAAGATATTCCTGATTAAGCCCTTTCTGTACTTAGATGTGTATTTAGATGTTCCTGAAAAAAATTACCCCGTGTTTATCTAAGATATCACAGAAAACACTAGGCCGATAAATCAGCCGCAATTTTGGTAATAATACTGACTGGAGCAGGAACTAATACGTACATATTGCAGAAAAGACCTGACGAGTAAGTGACTAAAATGTACAACTAAGTGTGCAGACAAGTGTGTCTGCTGTTCTTACATTAAAGAATAAAATAGCACACGTGACAACGATTTGACGGTCATAGACAGACTGTGAAATAAGACAATGTTTAAGAAGATAAAATGCTAATTCAGAGTGATTTAAAATCATTGTAATACAACCACAACGAATTAAACTAAATTTATTTCCATTATTATTTTTGTTGTAGCAATTTAGGATTCCATCGTATAATAATACTAGAAAAGGCGAACATAACGGAGCGCAAAACACTTATTTATTATATTTGTCACTCAAAAGAAGTAGCGTTTCTTGTCTTGAACTTTTCTAAAAATTGACCGGCACACAAACTTTTATATTAATAGTTTATTCTTAAAAGTATCATAGTAAATTTTGCAACAAATAAAAAATTATAAATTTTGGCATCAACTAATAGAATTTTTTTCTGGAACGAAAGTTTTAAAATAAATGCTCTGAAGAAATGTAGTTTACGTATCAACTTACCTAAATAATTAATGATATGGTTTGAAGTTCCAAATATCGAAAAGTCCAATCAAATGAATATTGTTTAACGTTATTGTTTTTATACTGTCATTATTGGTCTAACTCATTTAATTTTCTTTGTCATCATTCTTGCAAATTAAAACAAGTGCACACTGATACTGAAGAAAATTCAATATTACGACAATTTCCTAAGGTTAATATTGATTTGTTTTAAATTTAGTCTTTGTGTTTGAGCAAACAATAAAATAATCGTCGTCTTATCCGATAAACCACTAATCATCTTTCCTTAAGGGACTTAAAGACTATAAAACAAGTCATTATTTGCTTAAACTTGTAAATGTGGATTTTATTTGATCCTTATGTTCCCTTTGTATACAATGGAATTAGTATTTAAACATAGGTTACAGAGTATAAGACATCGTTCAGAGTAAACACCATACAGTATTGTGTACAAATTTTGTTGCTTGTCAGATAACAATATGGCAGTGCAATCAAGGTTTTGTGGGTAAACCATATAAAATCTATGGCAACAATGTGAATTTATAACTTTCTGTTTGGTGAGCCACGGTCCTTTTCTAAACATGAGTGCCCGTTTGACCTTGTTGAGAATCGCGCATATAAAGAAAATTTGTTAAGAGGTTTAAGTCTATTACTTTTGATTTAAAAGTTAGAGCTCATTAAATTGTTTTGCTGAAGCTCAACTCGGTTAGTCCATCCATGTCAGTCCAACTACGCATCAAACATTCACTGAGATTGCTAACGGTCTAGCCTATAGAGCATCCTGGAGAGTTAAGTTGTTCATTCGGTATAGGGATATCATCAAGGATAATGATTCACTGAAACACGGAAGTGTATATGAGCTGTGTAGAAGATGGGTCAGGGTTAGTTGCAACGTTCTTTGAAGGGAGCAGGATGAAGTAGACCTTTCTAATTAGAAACACAAGGGCCTTGCCAAGTATACGCACTTGGTCAAGGAAATAGACAATAGTGATTAGTTCGCTTTTTCTTTTTTTTTTTGTTGGCAAAGAGAAAAGCTGGCACTGAAAATGAAAATATAGGAATGTTATAATTTCTAGAGCTGGCACCAAAAAAAAATAATTGGGTTATTAAAATAATACCACTGTAATTATGATTATATGAGATTATATTCGATTGTGTATATTTCTGATTATTTTACTCTGTTCTTTGTTGACGTAGTCATCAGCAAATTAAATTTTTCAAATGATACAGGTAAATTATGAAAAGTAACAATTGCTGGATGTAATTAGTACCAATGAATAGTACGGATAATTGTCGTCCAGACAATCTTTGCTTTACTGTAATTTGATCGCACAAAGAATATAATAAAATTAGCTTCTTGAAGATTAAAAGTAAAACATTATAGGACTTTGAAACTTATTTCAAACCTCGCATTTCAAAACATCTCCTTTATTTTCTAAAGATTTCTTGAAATACAATCGATCCAAAGGCCACGAAAATATTGTATTTGAATACTAGTATTAGTACTGCTATAAAATATTTCTAAGCATTTCCGTAAGTGAATTATCTGCAGAGGGTAATTTTGTTAGTGTGTTCCTCTTTAAAGTTTTCGACGATAAGTACGAAAGGCACCGTGATATCTCAGATAATTTGTGAAGTCAAAGAGAGAAACAAATTGCAAAGAAAGTGCCAGACACATAAACAGTAAAGAACTCGAAAAGTTTTAAACTTCAAATATTTATGTGTTTTTTGCATCTCCATGGTAATGATAACAGTGTAAATAAATTAAAAAGTACAAGAAGGCATAAACAACATATTTCATGTTAATAACTATGTCAAGATTGTATTTGGCAGAATCAGCAGTACAAATGAAACATCTTGTAGACTGTATGTGGCTATACACAAAGTTTCAGCAAAAGCAGAGACAAAAAGCTACAGAAGAAAAATTTAGATATTAAACAGTCGTAAGTCACTATAAAGTAGCAGTAACAGAATCTACTTATTGAACGTTAACCATGGAAATGACACAATTAATCGTGCGGATGACAGAGCAAATCATGGGGATGACAAAATAAAAAATGTGGATGACACAATTAGCTATGGAAATGACAAAATTAACTATAGATACGACACAATTAACCATGAAGACGGCACAATTAACCAACGGAATGACAAAAGTAGTCATTGGAATAATAAAAATAACAATGGGAATGACACCCCAAAACATGGGGATCATACAGTTAATCGTGAGGATGACACAATTAACCATGGGTATGACAAAATTAACCATATATATATATATATATATATATATATATATATATATATATATATATATATATATATATATATATATATATATATATATATATATATATATATATATATATATATATAACGCAATTAACCATGAATACGGCACAGATAACCAGAGGAATGATAAAATTGGTCATAGTAATGACAAAATAAGCCATCGGAATTCTACAAGTTTACATTATTCTGAAATCAAGCGATCGTTTGCAAGCCTGAAGTAGCTTTGCAGATTGTTGAAGAAAATATGCAAGCTTTAGGTTGTCGTACTAATAATGGCTATTTGAGAACGCTCAAAGACAATTAATTAGGTGTTAAAGACGCTCTGACTGTTTTTATTGGGGAGCCCCATCCGGCAAGCGTGCGTTATATGCGCGTTTCTTTTTTGTTTTAGTGATGCGAACACTGCAACTTGTTTCTAAACATCAG